TTTGGGCAGATGGCTGATGGTGCCTTTTGTGTTACAAAAGCAATGCAGCATGAGCTTGCTCAAAATTGGGGAATCAGGTAGACTGATCAAACTTAAACATAGTTTTCTCCATATATATGAAGGACTGCTGTTCACATTCTCTAGTCTGCAATTCCAGGGCGACAGTTCTTTATGATCAATCTCCTGATTTTTTCCACCCTGCTTCATTGATGGAGAAACATGGGGTGAGCATTTATTTTGAGTTTTCATTCCTCCTTCCAGTACCACATGTGACCTGAAGACACGTAATAGTTGTTTAGCAGGCTAGGGAATTCCATCTGTAGTGCTATGGGCAATGCTGATTGCATATCAGTGGGTATGTTTTTTCTTCAGTTAACCAGAGCATTTTGATGTTTTGTGCTTATTTCACTTCAATTTATTTCTTGTTGCCTGATCATACCACCACCACCACATCGTCTAGAGTCTACTCCGGTGAGTATGAGTACGGATGTTTTACTTTCTTTGCTCATGCTTGGTGTCAAACCTAGTGATGGCCTTCGTGCCGGATTTGTTGATGTGTCGGCCTTCGTGCCGGAAATGTGGTTGTCGGCCTTCGTGCCGACGCTTTTCTTGCAGGTTTTGGAAACCTCCCCGTGCAGGGGAGGTGCTGTAGAAATTTTCAACTTTTCTTTAAACTCCTTACATTTTTATCTTGTCACTCACGTGCAATCTCCTCTCTTTTTTGCAGCATCAATCGGGGGCGGCGTCGAACCATGTCGAAGGGTCGCCGGCATCGCACATCGTCGGGCCATCCCCACTGGACCGTCGCCGGGATCGCACGCTAGGGCGCCCCACCCCTCACGATCGCCGTGAGCCGCCTTGAGTCGTTTTATGTATTGAACTTGTGAACTTGGAATAGTGTGTACTTTTAAAGCGTGTGGTTTGTAATATATTGTGGATTTCGGACAAATTTGGTCGTTTGTGATATATAAATGTGGTTTGTGACATATTGGTGTTGATTTGTGGTTTGTGATATATATATATGCTTTGTTGTTTACATGGAAAAGCAAAAAAAAAAGAATTTTAGAGGTGGCTTCCCCGAGTGCCTGTGCTGTGGCACTCGGGAAAGAGGGATTTTTTTTTAAAAAACAAATTTCTTCCCCGAGTGCCTGAGCTGTGGCACTCGGGGAAGAGTATTTAAAAAAAAAATCAAAAATCTTTCCCGAGTGTTGCACTCGGGGAAGAAAATAAAAAAAAAACGACGTCGGCCAACGACGTCAAGTCTTCCCCGAGTGCCAACACGGCACTCAGCAAAGCCTTCCCCGAGTGCACGATTTTTGACACTCGGAGAAGGTGACTTTTCCGTGAGAGGATTAGCCGGAGGCTCTTCCCCGAGTGTTGCACTCGGGGAAGGCTTCCCCGAGTGCAACTGGGCCTTCGAGGAAGCCAGCAGTTCCTGTAGTGGATAGGGCTGTTATTGACAATTTAAATGTGTCGTTCCATGCAAAAATGGACAAATACAAACGAACGTCTGATCACAGTTAAAACATATCATGGTGTGCTGCATCACATCATTGTTCATAACCATTTTGCATCAATGCCCAATAAGTTTGCCGTAGATAAAACAATAGACCGAGCAAAATGTCTGCATTTTTACCGAAGATTTATATTTCCATAAAAAAACACGAGACCAATTTCATGGTGAACTAAAAAACCCTTCTTCTTGCATTATTCCATGTATGATACATCTAAGTTTGGATGGATATATATGTATAATTACCTGCTATTTGAGACATCAAGTTATGACAAAAAATAAAGAAAGATATATACTTAACTGTGTATACATGTGGCAATGAGTGCACCAATGATCTACATTCAGAGCTCCAAAACAGGACCACCAGGAAATTAATTCTACAAGGATCCTAACAAAATTTTAAAGCAAATACTGTATGTAAGCACAAAGCACATCAAGTAAAGCTAAATCCAAAGACAGAGATCGTCTGACATGTGGGCCCACCGCCATGTGAACAAAACCATCTAGCTAGAAAACCACTTTGAAATAGTCAAGATGTATTTTATCTAGTTTTGAATGTTAAGGGGTAGGGTTGTCAGGTATTTATGTTTGAGTGTATTTTTTTAATATAGCGACAAGTTTAGGAGGGTAAATCAGACATTACACTATTCAATAATACAAAATTAATATATTATTATCTTAAAATTCCAAAAAGCACTCACTTATGAGTATGATTTTTTTCTGTACAGCATAATAAATTATTATATACCTAGTAATAGAGTAACCATAGGTCAAAGTCTTACTCTAATAAGACTATGGGTCTATCTAGGTTGGTTATATATCTCTTCTCTGTCTTCTATACCTAAAAAGACTCTAAAGTAATCATCTACCCGGTGATAAAAAAATCATATACTATCCGGTCACCCACCAGAAATCCAAAGTCCGCACGCCTCCGCGCCGCGTCTGAAATCCAAAATCACTATACAAAGTCCGTGTCGGAGCCAATTCTGCAGAGTTCGCGTCGGGATGGTCGGTAGCCTCACATCCATCTACACCGAAAAAAACTCAAAGGGGCTCCGTGCGAATCCTAAAAATCTCCTCTCTGGTAAAAAAAACTAATAAAAAAAGCTCTATCCACGTGCAGACCGAACGGAAATAAAAAATGACCTGGCTCTGTAGGAATCCCAAAAAATCTCCTCTCCGGTAAAAAAAAACTAATAGTCAAATCTCTGGCAAAAAAAAATACTTGACCAAATTTAAAATTTACCAACTAATTTGATGAGAGTAGTATATTTGTGTGATTTTAGGTACGGGTAATAAATTTTATAAAAGTTGAATGAACATTTACACTTAAGAAGATTGTAACGTCGTCATCTACCCGATAATACCAAGTCTCGATCCCTATTTATACATCCGCATCTGATACGGAATCATCCTCCACTCATAGCTCACATGTCCGTGTTCAATACGAAGTTCTAGATAAATGCCCGTGCGTTGCAATCGGAACCATGATTTTTTTACTAAACTTAGTATATCCCTAATAATAAAGAGGCAAAATTTCAGCCCATTATTTTGGTTGGTCCATTTTTGGTCCGTTTCTCTATAACTACCCAAATGTAGAGTTTATTTCGTCCGGACTTATATATATAACTTGTGCTCATACGAATTAGAATAGCTCTTGTCTAGCGCGATACGGAGTTCGATTCCAAAAACATATTGGGTTGTTTATGTTACTTTGACTCATAAGCCATGCTTACATGTGTTAGAACAATTCGCATCTAACGGTGAGTCCGATTTTCTAATAACGAACTAAAATTTCTCCGGATTTTTTGGTCTGATCTTTTTAACTACTTGAGGATGGTGGAAAATCGAATAAAAAATTGCTTCGAAAGGCTGCTTGTTTATGGATAAAATAGTCCATGAAGGCTTAAATGTGTTGTATACGTGCTACTATGCTTTTTATTGGTGTGTCCGCCGTCGTCTGATACTTCTTGGATCGGACTCTCCTCGTTCAAGATGATGCCTCCTCTCTTTGTTTGAATTTTATCTGATCCGGTTTGAAACATCTTTTTCTCTTCCGCTGCCTAGGAATCCTATTTCAATTTTCATCCTTTAGCAAATGATGTAACAATGTTCTCTGATGAATAAAGTTTGCCGAGAAGGCTTTGTCAAAAAAAAAAACTGTTCTTTTCTTTTTTCATTAATTTATTTTTCAATTCCTTTTTTATGGATTTGTTTTTTTTTGTTTCTCAGCTGCTTGGGTCTGGTTTAATACCGTGCCAGCCTTTTTTTGTTTTTCAGTAGATTTGTTTTTTCAGTAACTCCCGTTGTAATTTTGTTCTTCTGTTTTCTCTCTCATATAAACATATAAAAAACAACTGATAACTGCTTCTCTTATAAATGTACTATATTTAAGGACTAAAGATTCACACTACTAAGTTAATGACGTGCCGATGTAGTTATGATTAGAAACAAAAGTTATTAAAATCTGGATGAATCGCATGGTCCAACTAAGCAAACAGTTACATAGTATGAAAAGTTATAATATATATATCATAAATATTTTTTATACTTCTTTTCTCTATTGCAATACACGAGCATATTTGTTTAATATTAAAGAGCCAAAAATTTCTATTCCCCGCGTCACCTGAATCCATCGTATTTTACTGGTATTTTCGAACCGTCCACAATTCCTTATAAATTTTCTCGGTCCCAGATTTTTCCGGAGCCGTCTCGCATGCCTAGCTCACTAGACTTGCGCATTTCGCTGATAGCGTTTTCGCACCGTGCTCCTCAAAGTCCGCTATACCGACCGGCCTTGCACGCCGACGCCCAGGCTGACATCCATAAATGGCGCCATGCATGCAGACTGGTCCCCTCATGGGGATCCCCGCTCAGGATCCTCTGTGGCCATGATGGACCGACATTTCTTTTGTGGGGGACTGTAGCCATAGAGGCCCGTTCGTTTTGTTGAAAAACTGAAACACTGTTTCGAGGGATTTGTTGTATAGAAAAATTCTCCAACACGACACAACGTCGGACTCCACCGGCCTGAGGACGCACGAGATCATACCGACGACCAAATGGCTGAAAAAATCGAGTGAGGGATGCTCGATATCACTCGGGTGAAATCCATGTATTATTTTGAACTAAAACACATGTGTTATTTTGTTGTATAGTATTTCTGAATAATAAAACCAACTAGCAGCTTAATTTACTCCAACCTGCACGGACCTAGATTTTTCTCGCGAAGCCTAATAGCCGGGAAGAGGATAAATCTTCTTGATACCGTCCGTGTACTTCACCACCACATCAGCATGCCCCTTTGCAGCGACCTGCCTCAGGACGTTCTCCTCCAGGTCGACAAGCTTATTGAGATTGTAATTAAGAGTTTCCATCTTCTTTAAGAGCTTGGGCCTGCTCAAGAAAAAGGCTTCGGTGATAGGACGGGGCCTCAGCGTGGGAAGAGTCCGCACCCTATTGATGAAAGAATCTGGCACCCTCTCGGTCACCATGGCCACCTCCTCGGGCTTGCCCTCCTCCTTTGCTGAGGGCAGGCGCTTGCCCTCGCCATTTGCCACGGCTCAGCGTCGCCGCCTGACGCTTGGCCTCCAACTTGGCAACTTGGCCACGACGGATCGGGCTTGCCCTCCGCCTTGGCCGCCGGCTTGTTCCCCGCCAGGTTGGTGCCGCAGGTCCCGAAGTCACTCCAGGATGCCGCCTTCGTCATGCCTGTCCCGGTCGCCTCCTTGTTCCCCGCAACCGCCACCTTACGCTCAGCCTTCCCGACGCCGATCTCGCCGAAGGCCTTGTTGGTGGCGCCGATCTCACCAACGAAGCCGCCGACGGCCGCCGAATCATCCTTCGCGAGCTTGGTGCGGCGCCTCGTGCAGAGGGGAACCAAACCACTCGCTGGCACCAAGCCCCCATCATTGCCCAGCTGCATCTCCCTCAACACCCTCGTCACCTCCGCCATGGCCGCTCTCGCGCTCGCTCTCTCGAACCCTAACCTCTCTCCTCGAACCCTAGATCTGGATTGCTGAGTCGCGGCGGCTGCGGTCTGTGTTGTTTTAGGGAACGGACGGGACAGGGCGCCGCGATATATAGCCCCGCGAGACCCTAAGACGCTATCGGGTCCTTTCCGTCTCGGCGCCGCACTCTACCTTCCGACTCCGATCCACTCCCAGTCCCCCTCTCACACACGCCTATTGATTGATCAAATTCCATGCAGATGCGGATCCCATCCACCCGATCCACCACCGCAATGGTAACCGGCATCCGAATCGGAAATGACCAGTGGGAGGGGATCCGGTTCGTTTCGCTGAGGCTCGTCCCATTTTGGCTGGGCGGACCAACAAATATTTTTTATATCCCGACGTTGTGGGTAATATTTTTTCATTCTCCGCAACGCTAAAATGAACCAATCAACCCAACAGCTGCTTTTCGGCCAATTGGGCATTTTGGGCTGGGCCGGACCAACAAATGAGCTATCCTGACGTGTGGGCCCTCACCTGTCATTCTCCGTTCTGCTCAAAAACAAAACAAAACAAAAATCTGTCATTCTCCGTCCCCTTCCCCGTTTCATCCTTGCCTCCGCCGCGGCCGGGACAACGCCGACCCAACTCAACGGTCTCATTCCGTCTCTTCCAGCGACCCATATGCCCACCGCGCTTACTCGCCACTCGCCGCCACCGGCCGCGCTGTCGGGTCTGCCTCCGCGCGGAGTGCCGAAGCAGGAAGCCGTGGCAGCGGTTCTTGTGCTGGTCGCCAACAAGAGGTTCCCAACTGTTGTCTCTCTCCTCCTTCCTCATCCCCTCGTTTCTGTTGGGATTTAAGGCGGTTTAGTTGGTGACCTCCCACGACCACGATGGCTCGTGTCTCTGCGGGTAGGTTCGAGTGGAGAGAGGGGGGAGGGGGGCGGACTCCACTCTGGTGTGGAGGATGTTCAGCAGACAGCTACTCATGTGGGCTGTGGCCACCCTTTAGGCCTGTATCCACCTCAGTCCACATGTGTTCAAGTGGATTGGAGTGGAACTTAAACTAATTTTCACTCCAATCCACTTCAACACATGTGGGTTGATGTGGATACATGTACATCCAAACAAGGCCTTAGTGGTATTTAAAATGCGGTGAGTTTTACAGTGACGAGTTCACACAATTTCACTTGAAACCAATTGGACAGTAGTGTGGCAAATTGGCAATGTGGAAAGCCAAGATGCACCATTCATACCGGCTCACTGTGGTTTGCTCTCGTGTTTGGTAAAACAGAGAGGAAATTGTGTCAACTATATTTTTCTTTGTTAACATACCAATCTTGAATGTATAAAATGCATGTGTGTTGGCTTAGATGGATAAATAGCTTTACTCCAGTACGTGTTATTACTGTAAATGCAATCGTGAGGATTCCATGGCTAGGTCTATGGTCCTGGTGACACTAGTTTTATACAAGTTCTGGCTGTTTCCCTTTTATTGCTATCTGATGGTATTTTGGCTTCGATGCTAGGGGCAATTTCACATGGGACAACAATGGTGGAGGTTCTGGTTCATTAAGCAACATCAATGGCTGCCCTTTTTCTGGACGAAGCTCAAGGTCAATGACAGCTGGAAGTGATTTGCTCAACTCTCCATCAGTGTAGTTCCTTCCTTTCAGCCATATATAGCAGAGGAGATCAGAAAAACCAAGCCGTTCAGTAGCACCAATATCTGTTCTAGTGTTCTTGGGTGAGTTCCTGGGACTTCCAAAGTTTACATACTTTCTATGTAATGAGATTTATTTTGGCAAGAGAATATGATCAGGTATGTTGATTTTTTGTATGGCAGGAGGTGATCCTGATCCTACCCTCAAACTTACCTAGGAAAGCAGAACAGGCTCAACTATATGGTCCTAATATATTTATGCCTCCTCCACGGCTTGATTACTGGTATCATACTCCTGATTGTCCCCTGCCAGAAATGGAATGTGGCCTTTAGAGGAGCAGCATCATTTGGTCCACGCAAGCTGCAAACACCTCTGATATATAGTTTCCCTTTTACTCATAAGAGCATCTCCAACAGTTTGGTCAGTCCCTATTCTCAACTCAACCAGTTCTTCTTTGAACAGTGCTTTCCAACTTGTGATTGAAACGCTTCCATTATCGAAGATGATGCTATTTCTGGTTTTCTAGATTATTCAGCAGGCTGTTATTACCACTTCCCTAAAGATTAGGTTGCCGAATTGGTTTCTCGCTTCAAGGATCATGTGCAGGGGCTGAAGAGTTAGGTTCCAATGTATTGAAGCTGTGCCCCAACATGACTTGCGGAAGGGACATTCGAAGAAGAGGTGTAAAACTGTCTCTTCCGTACCAGAATTGCAGAAGACACAGCTGTAGTCATCAAGGTGTCTGTTTTTTCTCCTCAATAGGTTCCTGGTATTCAGCCTGTCCCTAAGCAGCAGCCAAAAGAAAAACTTGTGCTTGCCAAGATTGTTAGCAGACCATAGCCATTTGAAAAGGGGGGACACCGGTTGTGTTTCTATCAAGAGAGTATAAGCTTTCTTTGGTACAAAGGTGTCGGAGCCCGAGCTCTATCTCCACTTGTCTTGTGTCATGGGATCCCAGGCTCGGATCAGAGTGAGGAGGTCGTCAAGTTGAGCTGCAGCTTGGGCTGATAGGGGCAGACTGAACAAGCTGCTAATTGTGTGCTCTAGGAAGTGTCTGATAGAGCAGTTTGGTTTCTTAGCAAAAGAGAAAAGCTGTGGAAAACATTATTTGATGGTGCTGGTGTGCCACTGGCCTTTCCAAAACGAGACTGTGCCTCCTCTATTTGGGGAGCAGTGTGCTAACCTTCTGAAGTCGACAGCGAGCTTGTGGATGTCTTTCCACCAGAAAGACCCCATAGGGTTTCTAGCGTGAGGCGAGGTGGTGTTAGAAACGTAGAGGTTCCAGGTCAGAGTCACCCAGGGGACATCAGCATGGTTGTGGAACTTATCAAGGAACTTGAGGAGGAGAGCTGAGTTCTGTGTCCGTAGGTTGATGGTTCCAAAGCCTCCTTGATCCTTAGGTTTTGCAGGCTGTCCCAGGAAGCTAGGCAGGAGCTTTTGTGAATTTCCCCACCACTCCACAGTGAGTGTTTTTTGTAGCGATCAATCTGGTCCACCACTCTTGGTGGCAGCCTGAGGGTGCACATGTAGAATGTGGGCATTGCAGAGAAGACTGAGTTCACTAGGATTAGTCTACCATGATAAGACATATATTGATCCCTATTAACCGACCTTCAATTTTTGAGAGGACGGGGGTGAAATCTTGGAAGGTGGGTCTAGTGGTACCTAGGGGGAGCCCCAAATAGGTGAAAGGCATGGATCCCACACTGCGGGCATGCTTGGTTGACTTCCAAAAGTTGCCATGCCAAAGATTTGGCAAGCCAAAAGTTGGACAAAAAATTTACCATAGATTTGGAAAGTCAAGTGTGAGAGTTTGGCAAGTTTGGTAGCAAACCAAATACTAGCCAAAATCATGGCTTGCCAAATCTTTGGCATGACAAATTTTGGAAGTGAACCAATCAGGCCCTGCATCCAAAAGTTCTAGAGAGGTGTAAGCAGTTTTCTTCGCCCACATTGATAGGGACTGGGAAGGATTTTTGAAAATTAACATGCAGACCTGAGGAGTCAGAGAATGATCTTAGGAGACATTTCAAGTTGTCTCCAACAAAGTTTTCACCCAGAGGGTGCTTGAGTAGACCTTTCTGGGAAGCACCATTAACTATGGTTTGCAGGAGATCAGCAGCAAGAACAAACAGGAGAGGGAAGAGGGGATCCCCTTGTCTAACTCCTCTTTTAGGGCTCGTTCGTTTAGGGCTATTCCTGGCATGAATCAATCCTGGTGAGAGTTAGCTATATAATTTACTGAAGCATTCCTGGCAGGATTGGTTCCAGGGGGTGATTCCCTGGGAACCGAACAGGGCCTTACAGAGGAAAGATTTGCCTGGGATCCCATTGAGTAGAACAGAAGAGGTTCCCGAGTTAAGGATGCTTTGGATCCAAGTGATCCATTTGTCAGGGAAACCTTTGTGTTTCAGAAGGGTGCTCTAGCTTATCTAATGCCTTTTCAAAGTCAAGCTTTAGGATGACAATTTCTCTCATGGATTGGTGGCAGAGATGGAGGAACTGGAAGGCCCAGGCTAGGCAATCTTGGATAGTTCTTCCCTTGATAAACCCATACTGATTTGTGTGTACTAGTTGTTGTATCACACCTTGTATCTTCATTCAGGGAACCACATGTTGAACATCTAAAAAGCATTGATGCATCCTTTTGACAGGGTTAATTCTGTTTTTGAAAGTAGTAACTGGTACTGAATGGTCCATCAAATGTGTCTGTTCACCATGCAATGGTTGATCTATCAGAATGGCATGTTACTGAATTCGGTGAAGCTAGAAAGCCTGGTATATCAACAGATTAGCATGCATAAGGAGGAGGGAATGTTTCGAGAAACAGGCATGGTAATTCTGCTAAGAGCATTGCATCTAATATTTGGCATGGATGGCAAGAGCACTCTAAATTTGACTCTCTGCCTGTTGTTATCACAAATAGTTATCAAGATCAATCATTTCCTGGTAACAACTCACAATAGGTGTATGTGAGAACTGCTGATGCCATGCTAAACTCTCCTGATTATTATTCAAGCATGCTACTAATTTTCTTCCAGTGTGAAGTAAACAATAATTTGTGATTGATCAAGAATACTTGTTTGCCTATGACATTGTCAAGGTCACTGAACTGTTGTGTTATTATTCTCAGGGGACCAGCTTGCATGCAGATGCCACAGTATGTCATAAAGTATAACGGTGTGTTTCTTTTGCTTCCAGGAATGGCATACATCTATATCCATGTTAAAGTAGATGCATATCCTTAGGTTGCATTCTAGCATACATTCTATTTAGGGACATCCTTTTCATAACATGTTGTTGCACTTCCATTGCCTTCTGATTTTCTTGATAGAGTG